ATGCTGCAAATTGAATCTGGGTCAGCCATGTGCAAGGCAAATGCCCTACCAGCTGTGCTATCTTTCCAGTTCCCTAATGTTACAAAGGGCTAGAGCGATAGCACAGCGGTAGGGCGTTTGCCTTGCAGCAGCCAACATGGCTGACCCAAGTTCGATTCCTCCGCCCCTTTCAGAGAGCCTGGCAAGCTACAGAGAGTATCTCGCTCGCACGGCAGAGCCTGGCAAGCTACCCATGATGTATTCGATATCCCAAAAACAGTAACAACAAAGTCTCCAATGGAGACGTCACTGGGCCGCTCGAGCAAATCGATGAACAACGGGAGGACAGTGACAGTGTGATTGAATGTTACAAAAATTCTGACACACCAAAATGAGTTTTACCAAATACCATATACGGTAGAATCAAAAAAATAAGAAATGGCTCTTTAAATGAAGACATTTTTGCGAATTCATTCATATTTAAATGAATATTTTGCTGAATGGTCATATTTGTTTTATTTTCTTTTGGCATACAGCTTTCAAGACTTCCTGGAGGCATTGTGGAGCCAGGTGTCTCCTAGGTCCTAAGGCAGTCCCTTATGTTTCTTTTGAGAAGGAGGTTGGGGATTAGAGGGAGGGTGCCGGGGATTGAATGCTGGGACACACACATGCTAGCACTTTCTAGAGCAAGTGCTCTAGTGTTAAACTATATCTCAACCCAACAACCCCTTATGCTTATAGTTCAAGAGTGTTGTTAAAGAGTATTCTCGATTGCATCTTGTAGGAAGAGACATGTCTCTTAAAGATGCCGAGATGGCAGCTGGAGAGGTAGTGCCGCATGGAGCGTTTTAATCACCAGCACCCCATATGGATTTCTCTAAGCCGCACCAGGAGTGATCAAATCTCCCATTTGATTCACGTGAAGGTGGCTCAGCTACGCTTCACCCAAAGTCTATAGAAAGGATGAAAACAGAGGATTGGCTCTGAGTTGCTAAGGTAGTTGGAAGGGTAGTTTGATTAGTTTGGGGGTCACACTTATTATGTTCAGGATCTACTCTCAGCTGGTAAATAGCTAACAGGTTACTTCCATAGGTGCTCAGGGGACCATGCAGTACCAGAAATAAAAACTCAGGCCTCCTGCATGCAGCATTCAATACATTGAGTGGCCTCTCCAGCCTTTGTATTTTAGAGTTGGTAGGTAGAAAAAACCTGATTGATGAAGGCTGAGAACCCTAGAAAGGCTGCAAAAGTTTTGAGGTTGTATCATAAGATTAAATTTGTAGCAATGAAGATGCAAAGAAGTTAGCTGTGTTAACTATTTTGCTGAGGATCAATACTGACCAATAAAATAGTCTGTATCAAGGATTTACCTACGCCATTGTAATTCCATTAGGCAGGAGAAAGGAATCACTGACATCACTGGCTGAGGTGAAAGAAGCACAGAGTTTCAATGTCCAGGAAAAGAGAAAGTCCAAGAATATCTGAAATGTGCAAATCAACACAGCCTTGTCCCTGTAGAACCTAGAGCCAACCACTGTTTCCTCTAGACACAGGAAGGGCATGGAGGGGCCAAAGAGTTAATATGGGCAATAAGTCACACATCTTGCCTTTAACTGACCGAAGTTCAATCCCCCACACTGAATGGTTCCCAAAACCTCTGGGAGCCAAACCCTGAGCAAAGTCAGGAGTAACCCACATACCAGGAAGTGTGACCCAACTCTTGCCCTCAAAATAAGGGATATGAAAGCCCCCCAACTAGGCCCCATGGTTTTTACACTATAGCTGCAAAGCCACTAATGAACTGCAAAATCAAATCTATGAGACCAACATTTTTACTGATTAAATAAGCAATAGCACAGTGGGTAGAGCATTTGCCTTGCATGCAGCCAACCAGGGTGACCCGGGTTCAATTCCTCCACCCCTCTTGGAGAGCCGGCAAGCTACTGAGAGTATCTTACCCACACGGCAAAGCCTGGCAATCTACCGTGATGCATTCGATATGCCAAACACTGTAACAAGTCTCACAATGGAGACATTACTGGGCCCACTTGAGCAAATCGATGAACAGGAGGACAGTGCTACAAATAAAATATTATAGTAACACATTTATAGTGTTTCAGAAAACTATTATGTCAACATTGCAGTGATCTGATCAGGGTGGGGGTCTACCAAGGCTGTCAAGGGCCACAAGCGCTCCTATCCACAACCTTATTCATTTTAAATTTTTTGCTCCTCGATGATTCAGGCCGCAGTGCAGCCCAACGTCACTTTGCTACTCCGGCTCCCCTTAAAGCAATGGTGAAATGGAAGGATTTGTCCTCAGGAACCTGGCAACCACCGGCAGCGATACTTGCCAGAGTCAGAGGTGCAGTCTGTGTATATCCAACTAATGCAGAAAAACCCATTTGGGTGCCAGAACGCCTGGTCAGGCCAATACATGAGCCCCCTGATCATTTGTCCCCCACAGCTGGGAAAAATAATGAAACTCTTGCAAAATAGGAGGGGGATCGACTTGCTCTTCCTTAAAAACGGAGGGCTGGGTGCAGCGCTGGGAGAAGAGTGCTGCTTTTACGCCGACCACACGGGATAGTCCGAGATTCCATGGCTAAACTGAGAGAAGGCCTGGAATGGCGTAAAAAGGAGAGAGAGGCTCAGGAAGGGTGGTTCGAGTCTTGGTTTAATCAATCCCCCTGGTTCACCACCCTGATATCTACTATAGCAGGCCCTCTGATCATACTATTACTGATGCTTACATTCGGGCCCTGCATCCTGAGTCGACTTGTCTCATTTGTCAGAGACCAGATTGGCAGGGTTGATCGGCAAATCACTCAAATTCACTTTATGCAGCTGAGAGAAACTAGCAAAGAGCAGCCCTATTCAGAAAGGTATTTCTAATGGGCCTGGGAAGCCTCTTCCTTTATCTGTTGCAGTGACTTGATCCCGTGGCCGGTACCGGAAAACGCAAGAGGAGAAGGAGTGCGGACCGGACCTGTACAGAAACCCTGGATCACTGAACGAAGAGATCCCCATCACCCCTCTACCCTATCCCTACCCCTCTTTTCTGAGCCACGCTCCATTCTGGTCAAGCCACACTGGGTCCTGCCTGGTCTGGTAGAAATGTCATCAATCCTCCCCTATGCCTCCTCACGGTTAAGGAAGTATGCCCTTGCCCAGGATACCCAATGACGGGCAACTTCTGTCACCGCCGCGCACACCTAAGACAGGGGCTAAAGCATTCTCCCCAATGACGGGTACCACGGCGGGGCGACGGACGACCTAAGACAGGGGTCCTGGCGTGCCATAATTGGAAAAAAGGGGTGAGATGTTGCCTACTGACCAAGTAAAAGAATGCTTGATTTTTCATTCCCCCTTTGTCCTGCTCAAAGCTGGGCAACTTCCCAGTACAGGAGGTTTCAGTTTGGGGAAAAATGCACCCTCGTAAATGATTTGTAAATGATGTACAAGGAACAGCACAGTCTCTATGGATATGTCAAAACTGTAACAAAGCAGGCCGCTCTGACCGGTAGCATTAGGTCGAAAGGGTCACCAGGTGGCTGACCAACAGTGCATGGCTCTGCCCACTGTGACTGACCAACGGTGCATGGCTCTATTCATCGTCCCATCCACTTTCCCACGTCCCATCCCCTTTCCTTTCTTTTGGGTGGGTTGTGGAAACATACTTAAGTCTGTACCTGTGCTCTGAATAAACGCGCACATTCATGCCATCTCCTGAATGATGGAACCCTGTGTGACTCGAGTGCTGATTTCACCCTGACGGCCCTCTCCTGGCTCGGCTCTGCAGCGCCGAATATGGGGGTAGTCTCTGAGCACCATTGGATCCATGTGAAAAGGATAAGGAGACCCCTCAAGCAAAAAAAAAAAAAGAAAGAAAGAAAGAAAAGGCGAAGGGATCATGAGAGAAAAAGGAAAAGGTATATCAAAATTGAGTTGTTAGTTGGGTATGTAGCTTAGAGGTTCATGTTTCCCATGTATGCATGAGGCCCTGAATTCAATGATTCTAGGACACTGGATTCCTAGCAGCAGATTTCAGAACATTTTCTAGCCCAGCAAAGCTCCCCTATCTGCCAATCTGATAAGTAGTTGACCTGCTATGCAAGGGGATTCCTAAGCACCACTAGATGTGGTCCAAAAACAAAACAGAAAATAAGTGACCGGGTAGGAGTCATAATACAAGCAGGTAAAGTGGTTGCCTTGCACACACCCAACCCAGATTTGGTCCTTAGCACTCCTGAACAGCACCAGGAGTGATCTCTGAGAAAAGTGGTGAGCCCCGAGCACTGCTGGATGTGGTCCCTTCAGAAAAGAAAAGGAACCAAATCAGTAAAAAATATGTAAACAAAATAAGTAAGCAAAATACAGCTTTAGGTGTGAAAGGGTTCCATTGTGAGCATGAGAATGAGAAAATTGTGGTGTGAAGACGGCAGCAAAAATTTCAGATTGGTTGTGATAGAACCAAACAGAACAAAAAACATCAAGTGTTTTATGGATTTAATTTTAATAACATGTAAATTTCTATTGCTTAAAAAGTAAGATCAGGAGATGAAGAGACAATACAGAGAGTACGATGTTTGCCTTGCATGCAGTCAACTTGGGTTTGATCCCTGGCTCTTCATATGGTCTGCCAAGTTCACCAAGAGTGATCCCTGAGCGTGGAGCTAAGGGTAAGACCTGAGCACTGCTGGGTGTGGCCCCAAACCAAATAATAAGTGAAAAAATAAAATTCATAGCAACCTGTAAAACAAATTTTAGTGAATGACAGCAGTGGTTGCTTTGCCAGAAGATGTTCTCACATCTCAGAATATCCCACCTAGTCTTCCAAAGTCACTTCCCATCTTTGTAAATAACTCCAAGTTCAGAATCTGAAAAATTTTACATTCTGATTGAGGCTGTGGGCACCTTTTGTGCCTCTTGTCTCTATGATAGCACTTTCACAATAACACAATAGAGCTATTACTGAATTGCACAAAGGATGATTCTCATCCTTCATCTTTCCAAGTGGTTCAAGGTAAAGCCTCAACTTCTCTTGGGCAGATGGTCAAAGGGGCACCAAGATCACTTTCCTCTCCAGGTATTTCAGGACAGAAGAATGGACGCAATGGCTCCAAACAGGAGACCTGACTGAACAAACAAAGGAGGTCATTACTTTGGACATGAAAAAACTTGATTTCTTCCATTTCAATATCTAGAAAAATCCCAACACGGATAAGGTCAGAACTTGCAGAAACACTGATGTCTGGGTTAGAACTGGTATAGGTTTCTCCATCCTTGGTAATGATCCAGAAGCCATACTCTGAAGAAAGTTTCTTTCTGTTTCTGTTCACTGAATCCTTGCACACCCCCAGAGACCAAGCCTTCCCCTTTCCGACTTCTACCTCCCAGTAATGGCAGCCAGTAGAAAAAGATGGTGTTCCCAGGACACAGGGCAGGTGACTAAACCTCTGGGGATTTGCCATCCCTGTTTGATGGATCTTCCCACACCGGACACTTCTTAAGTCATCAGAAAGGACAAGAAGGGAGTGGGCAGAAGCTGCATCCAGCTTCAGGTCCTCTGGAGAACTTGGGAGTTCACTTCTCTTGATGTGCAATTTTCTCTCCAGAAAGGGGCCATGTTGTTTGACGAGCACCGATAACATTTTAATTTGTCTTTCCTCTATTGCTGTTCCCTGAGTTAATCTTCGACAGAAGGGGCAAGCTATTTCACGGTTCGTATTAGCCATGCATTCATTCAAACAAGCAGAGCAAAATGTGTGTCCACAGAGGAAAGAAAGGGGATTCACAAGTATTTCCAAACAAATGGGACAAGTTGCCTCCTTCAGCAGACGATGGGCCATGGTGTCTGAAAGTCAGTCCTTGGCAACTAATAGCGTAAATGGCCCTTGGCTGGCTTCTGGGAATAATCACAAACCTTCAGCATGCAGTCTGCTCTTCAGTAATCAAGATGTGCCTAAATTCAATATAAAAATATAAACATAAATCTTTCTGACCCTAAGTCACCAAAGGATCACAGTAAAGAACTCAGTGAAAATTTATCAAGTACTATCCAAAATTAGGTGATTATAAGTTAAGAAGGACTATGGGGTACTGTCTTTTAAGGTAAAGGAACTTACCTTGTCAAGACTTCGAGGTGAATCAAGTTTTATGTCCTTTGACCTCAGCTTGATTCTCTGAGAGTTGAACCCAACCAGGTCTTTCTTATTATAGTCTAGGAATGTAGTTTTCCCCCCAAGCATGTTTCTTGGTACTTCATCTTCAGCTCAAGAAGTAAACCTGTCCACAAACAAAAAATTTAGTCATATTTTCCATCACCACATGGTTCCCTGAGGAGGAATCCCTCAAGGTTCCCCATCCCTGCAAATCTGGGGGTAGCTTCTGAGCACCATAAACTTTGGCCCAAATGCTCCTCCCTCTGCACCACTTAAAAAAAAAGAAAAGACTATCTACATCTAAATGCTTAATATGCATGCATGCATGAGGGTTCCTTCGCCAGCACCACACTCCCTTCGACTATCTCAGAATCCAGGATCCAGGGTATAGCCCTGATGGTCCCCAACACCACACCTGACCCAAGCTCAAGGGTGTAGGCAAGTATCTCAGGGAATATGACCTTCAGACATCACCACTAGCACCCTTAGGACATCCAAAGTTTTTATAAAAACAAAAAATGTAATCAAGATCCCCTGAATCTCACCAGGTATGATACCTGAGCACAGAGCCAGGAGTAAGCCCTGAGCATTATAGGGTGTGGCTCCCAAGTGCCCTGCCCTCCACCCCTTCAAAGAACAAGGGAAAACAAAAGAAACAAAAGATGTAGAGGCCTGCAAGAGTGGTTCAGTGGTAGAGCCTTTGCCTTGCATGTCTGAAGCCTGGGGGTCCATCCTGGCACAAGTCAAAACAAAGAGAACAGAACAAAACCTCTACTTGTAAAAAAGCAACATGTTTATATACAAATATCAAAATACTGAAGCTTGGGCTGGAGAAATAGTGCAAGGTGAGGGTGATTGTTTTGCAGACAGGCAGGCAACTGTTAAATTCCCCCAACATCCCATATAGTACTGGAGCAAGACCCCTGAGCACAGAGTAAGGAATAAACCCAGAGCACAGATGAGTGTGGCCCCCAAACAAAATCCTGTTAAAAGAGAACTGGGACAGAGGATTAGTCCAGACAAGAATTACTTAATTAGACAAAGACTTTTCATGGAGCTGCAATTTTTATCCCTGCCCCGAAACCTCCATGCCACACAGCTCTCATAAGAGAAGTTTTCCCTGACATCTTCGGATTTTTACAGAGCCTGGAGCAAGGATTCACCTATAATCTGGCCATAATCCAATATTGATGATCTAAATTCACATTTGTGAGTAAAATTTAATAAATAGAATAATCGTCTTGTGTGTTACCAGAAATCAAAGCCTAGGCAAGGTAAGTGCTCTGCTGCCGAGTTACACCCCAGTCTTGAACAATTTTCTTTCACTTAATGAATTGAAAATCTTGCCACTTCTCACCATTTTATTGCAATGCCAGCTACGTAGTCCTCACCAAGCTTTTTCCTGATTGCTATCTTCCATTTCCTTAAGTAAGGAAGATAGAAATGTACCTCAAACTTCTTTTCAATTTATTTTGGAAATGATTAGATGTTTCTGGATTGATTCCAAGGTTTCATATATATGAATTATATACTCTAAATTGGACTACATATCTGGCTTTCAAAGTTCTGTAATTTTTTTAAGGGGGGGCTTGTTTGGGCAGTACTCCTGGCTCTTCACTCGGGGATCACTACTGGCAGGTTCGGAGGACCATAGGATGCTGGGAGTTGAACCCAGGACATTCACGTGCTGGGTTCAAATGCCCTATCAGTTGTACTATCTCTTCAGCCCCTAAACTTCTTTCTTTATCTCAAGATTCTTCACGTTTGTACTTGACTGAGGCTTCCCAAAAGCTTTATGCTTATGACATATTTACCACATTTTTAGTATTAAAAATTAAAACTAACACAGGGGATTGCCCTGCCACAGAGGCAGGGGGGGATGGGGGGATGGGGGTGGGGGGGAAAATGGGCACTGGTGGAGGGATGGGTATCTGATCATTGTATAATCAAACCCAAGCACAAAAAATTGTAAATCTACAACTGTACCTCATGGTGTTTCACTAATAAAAAAAAAATTAAAAAAAAAATAAAAAAAATTAAAACTAAAAACCCACAACAAAATTTTTTAAAAAATGGACAGGTTTGAGTAGATGCTTCTCCAAAAGAGGGCATTCAGATGGTTCATAAGCACATGAGTGTATTTTAGAATTATTAATCAAAGACATGCAAATTAATATCACAATAAGATACCATTTAAACACTGGTGAGAGTGACAATCAAAATAAGCATTCACAATTGCTGGAGATAGAGAACTCTACTGCTCTGTTGGTGGACACAGAAGCTAGCGAATCATTTTAGAAAATTATAGAACTTTCTTAAGAAGCTAAAGAGAGATTCGGGAATTTTATTTGGGAGTACCCATCCAAAGAATACAGAAACATTTACACAAAAACTTATATCCACCCTGATGTTTACAACAGCATTGTTTACATAGTTAAAATATGATGGGTACTGAAATCTGAACAGAACAAAATAAAAAGACAAACTGTGAACATTGATATTGTCATTATGGTTGCCTAAGGGGAATGGAGGAAGTGATACTAGGTAGACAGGGTATAAAAGTACTAAGCTTATTAAGCATATTTATTTAGTACATTTAGAAATAAAGTTAGGGTCAGAGAGATAGAACAGAAGTTAAGGCATTTCTCTTACATGTGGAGAACCCCGGGAATAGAACTGTAGCACTGTCCTCCTGTTGTTCAATTTGCTCGAGCGGGCCCAGTAACATCTCCATTGTGAGACTTCTTGTTACTGTGTTTGGCACATCAAATACATCAAGGGGAGCTTGCCAGGTTTTGCCGTGTGGGCGAGATACTCTTGGTAGCTTGCCGGGCTCTCCAACAAGGGCGAAGGAATCGAACCAGGGTCGGCTCGGTGGGCCATATGCAAGGCAAACGCCCTGAGTATAATGAATGAATTGTGACCCAAGCCCTCCCCTCTTAAAAAAAAAGGTAGGAGTTTTAATATGACAGGAAAATAGCACGTTATAATTTTATCTCAAAATAATTGTTGAAAAAGTATTTGCTTTTGGGGGGGGGGGGGGGGCTATAGCCAGAAATGGTCGGGGACAACTCTTGACTCTGTTTAGGGGTTACTCTTGATGTGGCTCAGAGAAACCTTTTGTGACGCCAGGAATTGAAACTAGGCTGTCATGTGTAAGGCAAGCACACTACCATTGAATTATTTTCCTATCCCTGAAAAAGTAATTTAAAGAATTATCACATTTCAGGGAGTGAAGATATAGCTCAACAGTCTGAGTACTTGTTTTGCATCAGACCTGGATTTAATCCCCAGTACCACATGGTATTCTGAGCAGAGTAATTACCAAGTACTTCTGGGCATAGCACAAAAAATTAAAAAGAAAAAAATATCTCATTTTAATAACAAACCAGCAAACATACAGAAGATAAAAAAGACCTCAACAGAAATCACTATTAGAAAAATCAGACATCAACTATGTATCTCATACAAATGATGTTTGTTCATCTCCAGAGATATTTTGATCAATCCAGTTGCCTGGATTTTTGTTTCTAGGGCTGGAGCAATAGCACAGATGGTACAGTGTTTGCCTTGGACACGGCCGACCTGGGTTTGATTCCTCTGTCCCTCTCAGAGAGCCCAGCAAGCTACAGAGGAGTATCCCACCCTCACGGCAGAGACTGGCAAGCTCCCTGTGGCATATTGCATATGACAAAATGGTAACAATAAATCTTACAATAGAGACATTACTGGTGCCCACCCAAGCAAATTGATGGACAAAGGGAGGACAGTGCTACAGGGCTAAATCCTGCAATTATACCAGGGGTGTCTACTCCTAGGTGAGATGGGGAGCAGACCCAAGACTCCAACACACAAAGCACATGCTCAACCTGGATTTTTAAAGATTGAAAAATTTTAGTGCTGAAAATAGATAAGTGGGGCTGGAGCGATAGTATAGCCGGTAGGGCATTTGCCTTGTACGCAGCCGACTTGGGTTCGATCCCCGGCACCCCATATGGTTCCCCAAGCACCTCCAGGAGTAATTCCTGAGTGTGAAGCCAGAAGTAAGCCCTGAGTATTGCCGGGTGTGACCCAAAAAGCAAAAAAGAAAAAAGAAAAGGAAAGAAAAGAAAAGAGAGAAGTGAATAGCAGAGCCCTGTTGCTTTCCAGGAAAAAAAAGGAAATATATATATATATATATATATGTATATATATATATATATATATATATATACAGCAAACAATGTGCAACACGCAGGGAAAGGCACAGGACTGTGGACTTACCCAGTGGTCCAGAACTTAGTGGAATATTGAGAAGGAAAGGACTCGCTTGGCCTTTCAAGGCTGGATGCTGCGACTGTGTGTGATAGCTGGAAGTTTCAGCCGACTTTTACCATTATAGCTAGAGTCCCTCCCACATGCCTTCAGGGCTAAGACTTCCAAATCCAAGCCCTGGGCTATATGCCCTACCCAGAGAGAGGGCTTGGGGCTGTGTGGGTTCCAACCGAGCAAAGAAAGTTGCCTGGACCTTGGATAAGTAGAGATCTCTAGGGCATAAACCAGCACCTTCATGGAGTCCACACAGATGAAAGCCTGTGATCTTTAGCTACACAAAAGTCTCAGCAATTCCAGAGGAGATGGCATGACAGGAGAGTGGTCATTTCCCTACACAGTGTCTGATGAGCAACCACCAGTTACAAGTCACCCAA